TCTTTTTTCTTTACTAGGTCTCTGATCCTACTCCATAGTGGCCAGTTGGTAGTCTTTGTCCATTTTCTTGTTGGTATTTCTACTTGTGGACTGGTAAACTTCCATATTTTGATTGCAGTGCTACAGTCAGTAAAGATTGAGACTGTTGTATTTCGAGGAGCTGTATATAATACAGTTAGAATGGCCAGTATTTCTGCCCTTGTTGTTGATGGCCATGTTAATGCTCCTGCTAAGAATTGTTTAACAACCCTGTTGTCTTCTACTAGTACCCAGGCCAAGCCCATTTCGAGCTCACTATCTTTTGTCCCTTTTTTATAGGAACTATCGATATAGAAAGTGAACTGATTGGCTGTACTCCTTCTATTATACTGTAGGACTTTTGTGAGCTCATCAATATGTTCTTCTGATTGGATGGCTTGTCTTATTAATATGGCCTCCCAGTTTTCCACCTGGACTTCTACTTCAGGTCTAAATATTGATGAAGTCACCATTAGGGACCTTGTGATTATTTGCCAGTCCGTAGGATTGCCTGATAAGAGGATTTGTTTCCCTTTTCTCAGATTTTCATGTTTGTTCAACTGTGGGAGAAAATGGACTTGTGTTATACCTACTTCTGATACTTGGGATAATCTATTTGGTTGAAATAGGGTATGGTTTCTAGTCAGACATATGTTAATTGGTATAGAGTGGGAAAAAACATAAAAAAATCAGTAAAGAGAACAAGACAAGAAAACCTCCATATCTTTTAAGTCAGAAAAGTATACTCTTGAAGAAAAAAAAGCCACTACCTGAAGAAGGAAACCTTGAAGATGAAGGTTTTCGAGAAATTCTAACAAGAAGAGTGAAGTATGGAATGAAATAGTTGAGTTTTAGGCTCTGTCAGAACCTCGCAGAGTGATCTACAATAGTGATCTGCAGGCAATAAAGTTAACAGTTGGAAGGATCTTTACCTGAACTGTTAATGGAGCATTAAATCACTCCTGAGGTTGCACTTAGAGTTTTAATAATTTTTTAAAATAGAGACGAGTGAGTTAGGTAGAGACTTAGCTTTAGTGATACATTCTCTAATGTAAAGTATACATATATTTAATAAAGTACACATAACTAGTCTGACAAAGGATATAAAAAAAAAATATATATCATTCGGATTTTATTATACTATATTTATTAAATTATACTTAAAATTCAAATCTTTAAGGATTAGTTAATTATATAATATTTTGATATACGTATCTTACTCAAATTTTAAAAAATATTTCAATTATCATTTGTAGTATTACAAATAAGTTCTATTTGACAAATTATTTATTTAAACAAGTGCTAAATTGAAATATTTCAAGTTAGAATAATTAAGTCCTAAAGTTTATCAATATAGTTTTGGATAATAACTACATCCTAAAAACAAAGCCTTGAAAACTGCTGATACTATTTGGATTAATGTAAGTTCGAGTGAAACTATATGTAGTCAGTCTAGAAATATTTCCCCATACAACATTTACAGATAATTATTTCAACCCCTGATTGGCAGGAAGCCAAAGGTCCCATCATCTTGCAATATAAACTTTTGAATATCCCCTAGTGGATTTGAACTAGGGACCTTTAATTGGAAACCTGGAGCTATTCAACCTGAGCTATTGATCCACGGATCTCAATAATCAATGATTTATCAAAAGGACTACATTTAATAATATAACACTATTTTTCAGAGTGAGTTTTCGATCATTGCTGCAGTTCACCTATCAGTTTTTATTTTTTATTTTTTATTATATTGTTTTGCGCAAATTATCGAAATACTAATAATAATAATAAACATAAAAATTGCGTTCAATAAATTTGTATACAGTATGTCCAGCTTAAAAGAAATTCCAATTCACGATTATTCACTCCATAATATAAATGCACGAAGATGGGGTCTCGAATTTCGACACAATCTTGGATATTCAATTATCGAATATCATCCGCTTCACATTTGTCAACATATTTTTATCAAATACATTAACCTAAGAATCTTTATATTGACTCCACATTCCATCTCCAGTTTTTCTTCTTTCTTCGGCCATTCTCTTAAACATTTCTATTGTTTCCTGCTCCTTCGATCTATATGCTACTGCTCTTTCTTGTATGTCTGCTTCCTTTTCAGCTCTATAATCACGTCTTTTTTTATCACGTGTTTCTCTAGCACGATCTCGAGAAGCAATTCTGAAAAGATAAAATCAAAATTTTTTAAAGCTACATCTCATAACTAATGCTTATGACAGTACTCATAAACCCCATACCTAGCTGTAAAATCATCTCCACCCAACAGATCTTCATCTTTTAATGACATATCTGGGCTCTCTTCTCTTCGATAGTAATCGTTCCGGGCTCTTTTTTTTTCAATCATGGCCTCCCTACCTTGATTAATAAATAATTTAGTGCCAATTATAGTTAATATTAAATAGACGCGAAGTACCTGTGGCTTTTGGAACCAATTCCTCAAGAACGACTTCATGCGTCTTCTGAAAGTTTTTGCGATCTTTTTTTTGTAGTGCTCTTTCATAGCGTTCTCTATCTTCCTGATCCATATCTGTGGTTCTTGGAGATATGGTGAGTTTAAGCATAATCCAGTTTCTGCGTCAATTTTTTATTGATAAGTAGTCTCACCTTCATTGTAATTACCCGGAATAGAACTAGGCATGGAAGGACCTACGACATCAATGTATGCATGTATTATTCATGGAATGCTGATACGCCGCAGAAAATCTATAAAATCTCAATAATATTATACCAATAATTCTCTGAGGTTTTTGTTCCAGACTTTTACCACCTCTCGATCTTTCGTGTACTTCAGCTGCAAACTTTATATTTGTCTGTCGGTCCACTGTGTTTTTTACATCTTCGAGTTTATCTTGCTCAATCTTTAGATTTTTCCACTTATACCGTGTCTTCTCTGAACTTGCAAATTGTAAAGAGCGCATGCCCTCATAATACTTTTCTAAAAAATATGGAAGATAGAATTTAATAAATGATCCAAAAATTTTCTAATTAACCTCGATCATATTATTACAATTTATAAATAATAATATGCTCAACTATCTAGCCTATATTTATTCCAATTGTTGACAAACTTCTTAAAGTATCGACGTGCTTGTTCCGAAGACAACTCGTCGAAAAACTTGTCTTTTTTTTCTTGAAGCCAAATTCGAAATTCTGTAGATTTGGAATAATAGTCGTCCTCGGATATGGCTGTTTATAATTGGATGTTAGTTAAATTTCGTAAGATCTCTCCAAGAAAGAGTTTAAAAAAAAAGAATTTCTTACGAGTAAAACCCTTAGGTGGTTCTGGAATGCTATCAGAATCGCTTTCAGAATGGTGACGTTTATGACTTTTTTTCTTATGTTTTTTATCCTTCTTAGCTTTATGCATATCTTCTCTATCACTATCATCCCTGTTGTGTTTCCTTGGTCGTGGGGACTCGGAACGCGCACGCTCACCGCGACGAGAAGACATGATAAATTAATGTCTGAATTTAGACTGAGTACAGTAACTTTTATAATCCAGATGCGTTTTTTTATGATTGGTTAAAAAAAAAACTGTCATCAAATACATAACAAATTAGTTGTAAGCCATATTAATAATTATTACAGGAATAATTATAATTATCTGCACTCAATTAAATGAGATAACTCTTTACACTATTCAAAATCATATCATTTGGTATTTTCAATATACTGTGACAAAAAATTTAATACAAAATTTAACAAATTTAACAAATTTTAATTAATTAATTAAACTATTATTATTTTTATTATTTTTTATTTTTTATTATTTCTTTTAAAGATTTTAGCTTAAATTTTTTGAAACTTAATTTGTTTTACCTTATCAATATCTATTCTCAATTTACATTTATTATAAATAATATTTATTAAGATCTTAATTTTTGCTCTACTTCTTTTGATTTTAACTTATCTTCAATAATCAATTTTACTAATTTTTTCTCTTTACTATTTCTTCTAAATTGAATTTTTTAATGCTTTTCTAAATTTAATGAACTTTTAGATTCTGATATTTTGATTGTTTTAAATTTTACAACTATTATATAATTAAGTTCAAGTTTCATAGATTTGAATCAATCAATTTTCTTCTTTAAATCTTCTATTTTATTTTTTTTACTATTTTGATTTTTTGAAAAACTTGTTGTTAATATATTTCATTATATCCAATTGTTTCACAAATTTGATATTTTCTCTTTTTAATTTTTTGATTTATATACATAATTATTTTATTATTATTATTATTTTTTTTTTTAACCCACAGTCAGGTTAGCATAGTATGTCTTTATTGTATATATACAAAGATATTCATAGGATATTTTGACTTTCCCATACTAACTCACCCGTCGTCGAAAAACTATTTCTCTAGATGCAACTTAGGGAATGATATTTCGCTTCTTAACTGACTTGGATAAATCCTTTAGTCAATTAAATTATTGCCTACAGGTCATTACTGTAGATCATTCTAAATTCTGCCTGCAGTTAAAAACTGAACTATTTGATTCCATGACAAACCCAATCCTTAATAATCTCTGTATATGTCTTTTCCTCCTTCCTTTTGACAACCTCTTGC